TTGCTTCATTTTTTTTATTCAAAATCAATTTTAAAAAATCGTTTATGTTCTTTTGATAATACTGCTCTTAATCTACCTATTGCAGTATTTTTCATTTTTTACTCAAATTTTTAGTTGATTATTAAATAAATGGTTTTCTTGGGTATTAAGATACTTAAAAGATTTTCCAAAATTATCAATTTTATTTAACTCAAACCAAGCTGTTAGATGCGTTTGCCATTTCTCTATTAACTTTTCAATTTTATTTTCTTCTAAAATTAATTTTTGTTCATACAGCAAGATTTACAACCTTGTGATTTCTACCATAAATTGGATATTCTGGTAATCTGTATGTGGTTTGAATGGGTCTGAAATATCTACCATCAACATAATCTTTTATTTTATCTAGAATTACGTTATCAAAATGATTTGATCTTAAATTTAATAAAAGCTGTATCACTACCTTTATGAATGTAGTCGTATATATATTTTATGCTATAAATAGATGCACAAAATTCAACGCTTTTGTGGCGTCTATATTTCATTAAGAAAATTTTATTATACAGTACAACCACTGTCAACTGTAATTTTATGTTTATTTTTAGTCTAATATACGTAATTATCCAAAATATTAGTTTTTCTGATATGTTCGGGATAACCATTTTTTTAACAATGTTATGTCAGCAAATGGTTTAGGAAAATTTTTTATACATTTGTTATTGGATGTATATAAACATGGGCTTTTTTTAGTATGAGGACCATGAAGCATGTTTTTCATAACCAATTTGGCAAGTTTCTTATTATTTGAAGGTATTTTAGCTGATATAATTTCATTAATATGTTCAGATAAAATTTTTTCATTGTTAGATTGCAGTGTTATGAGAAGATGTACATGTGGTGAATCACGTTTTTGAAATTCTATAGTATAATCATAGATTATTACTTTCCCAAAGAAAATAATTATTTTGAATCCCAAATAACTATTTTAATAAGGGAGTAAATATAATTAGCTCTTAACATTCGCGTATCGCTCTAAAATCTCAGCGTATGAAAAGTGAGCGCATTTAGTACAATGTTTTTGAAGTTCACTATGATGTGGTAATGGATAGTCAGTACATTGAGCGTGCAGGAAGGTGAAAAAAGTATAGGTGTATGATTTTAAATCATTGAAGCTCACTTTAAGTAAAGTTTTTTTTTACCAGTTTAAATAGGTTGATTGACCTCTAAATCAATAAGTGGCAACGCAAGCACCTCTAACTGAACTACTTACTGCTAGTACTATATTATTACTCTGTTAAGTTAATGGGGGGTTGGCGCGCAGGGGGTCGAAGCTCCACTAATATATAAATAGTTTTTTCTGCTTGTGTATGTTGAAAAAAGTCATGTTAGTTTTGTAATGTTATCTAATACCACTACTAAACACACAACTTAGTAAATGTTAACATCTTAAATATGAAGAATGTGTATTATTGTAAAAAAAACAACTATTTTTCTTACTATTTGTGCTTAACAGCATTTAATGATCCGTTTTTAAAGAGCAAGCCATATAAACTATACAAAAGATTTTAATGTTAATTTTTAAATAGTATGTTACAGTAACAGCACATAAAAAGGTAGGTTCAACGAAGTTGCAATGGTTATAAAGCTCGCAAGCTTTATCAAAGTTATTCCAGATACGAATTCTTTTTTTATGGTCTAAGAAATGACCCTTTAATATAAAGTTTATTTTTATAACAAAAGAGATAATAATCATACCTCTGAGTTACTTGAAAAAAATAAATGAATAAATAAAACGATGCTTTACCAATCAGAAAATACAAATAAATCATACTTTTATTCCTCTAGCTAGAACCTTATTTATCCTCATTAAACCATAGAACCATGGTTAAATTTAATCACTTAAGCATGTGTTACCAAGCCCACGAGTTACAAGAATCACTAGTATGCCCATGTTTCAAGACACTTATCAATGTAGTTGAATCGCCTGCGCAATTCTGTTACTTTATTTACAACCTTCAGTGTTTTACGTACATCTACTGATTACCAAGGAGCCACAATATTTATTTACCTTTTTTACTTCAGTTTTTTACATTTTACACTCATAATGCTTAGCATATAATCTGATTCAATTCCCTCGTGAACTTTACAGTCATAAATCACGTTCCAACATTTGTGTATTGTGTATTTACTAACTTTAGTACTTTTTTCATAATAATCTAACTTTTTACTTGAGTTTAACAAGTTATTTTTCTGCATCGATTCACAGGTCTGCAAAAAAAATGGTTTGAGTTGTTATGAAAAAGTGAAGGGTCGTTTCTGAAGTAAATTTTTGTGTAGATACAGAATCCGGAATCCGAATCGCTTTATCACGTCAGGATTTTGAGATATCCTAACCTAAAAAAGCCAAAATCGCGATTTTTGGCTATATTTGAGGTTATGTATCATCGCCATATTCTTTCTTCTCAAAAATCGACCAACAATAATGTAAAGTAGGAGTCTTGTTCTTTGAAATGCCGTTGAGTTTACTCAAATAGCTTATTTCTGCATTGAGATATTCCATTTTGAAGTTTTTGAGTTTCATGTTTTTCGTTACTTTTGAAATGTACATGATTCTGCAGTTTTTGATGTTGAAATTGGGTACTCATGTTGATTTTTTAGATCCTACATTTGTATTAATTCTTTTTTCATCAATAGGTTCTTTAAAACAAAAAATTAATATGCATTAAGTATCAGCACCCAAAACCACCCTATGTATCTTAGCGGGGGTGAAAAACTCTAAAAACGGTCTAAAAGTATTGTAACTCCTGAGTTTCTACATATTTCTGTATAGTTTTATCTAAATAGGTTTAGTAATGTGAGAAAAAATTTTACACAAATTTATGTCAGTAAGAACCACCCATGAGCACCTTAAAGGGGGGGGGGGTGCAAAGGGGGTGAAAGTCACCAAAATCGATCTAAAAGTATTCTATCTTTTGATTTTCCCTCATATTTCAGTGCAGTTTAAAGTAAATAAGTTAATTACCGTTAGTAGACAATGTAAACGAGGTTTTACCACCTCAAACAACCCTCTAAGTATCTTAAGGGGGGTGAAAATTGTTAAAGTCAATCTAAAAGTATTATATTTTTTGACTTTCAGTATATTTTTTGTTGTACTTTAATATAAATCAATTTTTTAGAGTAATGAGACGATGTACACTAAGTTTTAGCACCCAAACTGACCCTTAAGTACTATGAAGGAGATGAAAAGGGGTGAAAAATGCTAAGAACCGTCAAGAACTATTCTTACTTCAAATGAGCAAATCCTAAACTCACGTATGCCAAACGTACGTATTCCAATCCCTTAATGACTTAAACATGAATCTCCTCGCCTTTCACAAACTGTAATAACCTTACTTTTAACGCTACCCAGAAACAACGACGTGGACGTAGTAAGGGCTGTTTCCTTTGGGGTGCTTGATTAACGTGAGTCCCCTTGCCTCTCACGATCGGGGTGCTTGATTAACGTGAGTCCCCTTGCCTCTCACGATCAGGGTGCTTGATTAACGTGAGTCCCCTTGCTTGTTAAATCCTTACAAACCCTAAATTGACGAACCCTGAACTTAAAAATAACAGTCCAAAACTTTCCGGTAAATTTGTGGATTTGTGGGGTTAAGATTTATGTGTGGTTTGTGGATTTGGGGTAAAATTTAGGTAAAAGAAATTTTAAAGAAAATATAATCTGATTGTATTCAGACAGCTTAAAAGCCATTCGGTTATATTAGAGCAGATATAGATATTATTTAATATTAAGTGGACGTTGCTCTACATAAAAGGACTGCCTTAAGTGCAGTCGAAACGTTGTCAACTGAATAAAAGACTGAACAATAAGCCCTTGGAGTTCATTAATTCTTTGAATAATCAAATTGCTTTAAATATTGATAAATAATAATCAATTTGATTGATCTTACTATCTGCCGTCATTGACATATTAAAAAATCGCCTCAGATTTATTTTGAAATAGTTTTTTTTATGCCCATGAAAACAAAACTTATTTTACATGGCTTTGGAACCATCCAACCACAGTTAAAAATACGTACATAAGAAATTAAATTCCCAGAGGTCTGAGATAAGTGAAAAAAAGGATGGGACTTGAACTCGTGTTATCAAGTCTCTAAGGTACATTAAGTGCAACCTTAACCATAACTGTGATTTAATTACTCTAATTTTTTCTAATATACGTTCTCCGTCCATTTTTTCACTACTCGTTTTTACTAGTTTTTTTTTTTATCATCTCTCCTGCCATTTATTTCATGCTCGCCCTATTCGAAATACTTTCACTGTTTTTTAGTTTTAACCTTCCGATTCATTTAAGGTAACTATCTTATACATAATTTAAGTTGCTGACAGTGACAAAACAAGGCAAGATTGGTCTATAAATCTGCAACGCACTTAGCTAGTTAATACGCTCAAACTGTACAAATGGTATCCTTACTGTCTTAAGATGCCGGTATAATATAAACACTATCTTACAAAGTTTTAACATAAATGTTTCCCCACACTTTAATTATTCTCTTCACTAGTATTAATAACGCAAACGAACAACAAATACTAAAAATGTACTTAAAACAGTGGAGCTGCTTTTGTCTTTTATAATAGATAGAATTTTTTGATGTTCCATTTTTTGTATTGTTTCCTACTTAAACTTAAACTGAGATCGTATTTATTAGACGTATGCATATTTTCACAATTAATCTGTTACCCCTTTTATAAAAATTTTTAGCTTACTTATTTTGATAATTCTAGAAAACACCATATAATTATACTGACAATGCCCACGTTACATAAGCATGGTCAGGCTATACTTTCCAAAATTATACAATACTTATATAACATACACTCAACTAGTAAATTTATAGATAGAGAACAGGAAACTGCTAAGAAAATTATGTTATTTAATGAAACGACAATCCAATTTATTGATTGTAAATAACAGCATAAAGCTTTTTTAACATGCATTGATTGTTAATATTATATTTTTTTAGGGTTTGGTACCAGGTTTATTTGGTGTATCTCATGGTGCGATGCAATTTATGACCTATGAAGAATTAAAGAAATTCTATAATATTTATAGAAATCGTCCATTCAATGAAAAACTTGTAAGTATGTGTCAATTCTATAGTTTTTTAAGATTTTAACCAATGAAACTGAATATCTTGTTGTTTAAAAAAGAAACAAATGTAGACAAGTCAATTCTTGTAATGAAGATGAGATTTTATCAAGCTTCATAATTTGAGGATAATTTTATGTAGCATCATGTTATGGGTGTTAGAAAATTTTTTTGTAGTTCTAATACAACGAAATATATAAATAAATAATAAACAAAAATCAAATACTTGGCCATACAGCCATGAAAATTATAATTCTTACCATGGTGTGTTATGCATGACTACCACTTGATGAATTCTAACAAGCACGTAAAGACAATGAACAAAGAAAAATTAGATTGTATGCTTTAATCTCACTTAACGAAATTTTTATACGTTGTTAAAAAATAAATTTTGACAAATCGAGTGTAGTGGACTGACACACACTGCTCACTATGTGTTTATTTTATTTACTGTTACTAATTAAATATTTACATAGTGTAGACAGGTCAGTTAATTTGTTAGAAAAAATCCTCTGTACACATTTTTGACAGGATAATCGTAAGAAAAATACTTAAAAAAGCTAAGTAAATTTTTACAAAACTTATTTGAAAAAACGTCAAAAAGATCCGTAATAGTAGTTTTCGTCGTACAAGAAGTGCCATTGTCTCCGGGGCTATTTCGTGGCTCAAGGGAAGTAAGGTAGCCGCGGAGTGATAACACTTATGTGGCAAATCCTATTTTTTCTACCAAGAGCACCAAGTTGTATGTCGGTGCCCAAGTCACGTATAATTTTTTTCTTACCGAGGTCGCAAGGTATAATTTTGTGCCCAGTGAATCACTTTGGGCCCGGAGAGTGCAAAAAGCTTTTCTGCCCGTGGGCCAAAAGTGATTACACAAGCGTAAAGTGTGTCCCGAGGGCGCAAACCGGCAGTTGCTCTTTATAGCCATTGTAAGAAATAGTAGTTTTCGTCAGATAAGTGCCATCATCTCTGGGGCTATTTTGCGGCCTAAAAGACTTGCTAAGCAGGACCCGAGGATCGTAAGCTAGCCTCGAAGCGATGGCACTTATGTAGCGAATTCTATTTTTCGTATCAAAGGCATACTAGTCTTTATAAACGCCCAAGGTAGGAAAACATATTTGTCCTACCTCGGGCGTTTTTAAGAGGCTGGTGTGCTCTTGGTAAAAAAAAAGTAGAATTCGCCATATAAGCGCCATTGCACCGCGTCTCCCTCACGTTCCTCAGGCCACAAAATAGCCGAGACAAGACGAGAGCACTTATCCGCCGCAAACTAAAACTTTTGCGATTTTCAATGTGAAAAAAAGAATTGTTGCCAAAAACAAAAAATAGTCTGAAATTGCGCTTGGATAGACAAAAAAACAAGTTTTCATTCGTCAAATCGGTTTACAGCTTTTTCCACAAATAAGTAAAAATTGCCGTTTCATTGGATATTAAATAACAAGGCTTCTAATCGTCGTATGAACTTTTTCCGAGGTTTAAATTATAGATATTTGTAATACCTAACTCTAATGAAAATTTAGGTGGTATTTTTGTAGAAAGTTTTACCACAATTTTTTAAATCGTTACAAAAGGTGTTTTTCAAAAATGGTGGAGAACTTATCAAAAATGGTCCAAATTCAATTTTTAAGAGTAATATGTATTCTACAGATGTTTTTCTACGACACTATAATTATTTCAAATAATCATGATGTTGACAAGCCTTTAAAAAAAGGGTTATGAATTATCAAAAAACTTAAATGAATCAAGTAACATAATGTGGTAGTTGTTTTTTTTATTATTTTATTGTATGCTTTCTCTTTGCAACAAATTTCATAGTTGGTTTGGAATGTAAATGTAAGATTTTACATATAGAAAGAGCAACACATATCTATACAGAAGATAACGAAGGATTTCTTGAATAAAAATTTTATTTTCTCAAAACTTTGATCGAGTGAGCTAAAAATTGTATAACTACATTGATTTATGGTTGTTGTTTTTCTTCTAAGAATCAGGAATCATAGTGTTATTTGTTATCGTGAATTTATCAGACTACTTGTGATGACTATGACGGTCCCTTTTTTATCATAACTTATGTTTTAATTCAGATGTGCCATCACACAACGTCTTAGAATTACACGTAAATATTGAAAACATAATGCATGGAAGAAATAATAATAAAAAAAATTAAAAGATAAGTATACATAAGTAAGAAAAACAGTAGTTCCATGTACATATTAAAAGGTGAGGTAAAAAGACAGACACATCAATTTTATTGGGTTAAAAAAACGTATGCATCTACTAGCGCCCTCCCCCCACCTCAGCTATCCCAAAACTGGCTGAATGAAACACCACAGTGTATTGACGCGTTATTTTATACGTTTTCAGTCGAAAATTTTACATCTATTCCTGACATTTCTCAGAACAAAAAATTTTTTTATTAAAAACATTTCTGTTTGGAATCCATGCAGTTTATTTAGTCAAATAATAAGCTGTAAAAAAAATCGGCATTAGCTCAGTGGTAAACATGCTTGTTCCTACGTAATCCAGCTATTTTGGGGCGGGTTTTTCCGTGGAATTTTCTTTCAGAATGATTACATGGTTTTTTTCTTGCCCCACACGTCTGCGGACCTAAGTAAATGCGAAACAGTGCTAGGAGGTAGGGATTAGCAGATCCGATGCGCCAGGCAGGGATCGCCGGCCTAACCAGCGAGGAGTGGTCACTGAAACATGGGGCTTCTCCAGGGATGCTAATTAGCCTAGATCCGATGCTTCGGCAGAGTCGATCCAGTGAAGAGTCGACGTCCTGAAATACGTAATCTTCTCCTGGGAGTGGCTACACGGTGGCGAGTGGACCTGATGCATAATTGGTGCAAAGAGTGTCAGCTTAACTGGCAAGATGTTTTATTGGAGATACTCACACTGTGCCCATGGATTTAGGGTTAATTTCAGTAAAAAGGGTTGGAAATGGGTGCGGCAATACACCCCCACGCATAGGTAGTGCGTGGATGGCTTCGGCGACTAGACCTGTCCAGTAGGCTGTCGCGGTAGCCCGATATTAAAAAAGCTGTAAAAAATGAAGAAAAAAAAATTATGCTGAAAGGTATTATGCGTTCGGTACGCCATAAAATGGTTTATGGCCCTAAAGGGTTGTTGATTTGCACTTTCTTGCGTTATAATAAATGAAGAGAATACGAATACATATTATTCTACCTATTTAAAAATCTGGAGGATTTAAGTGATTACTGTAAGGCTAATATTAAAAAGCTAATCTCTTGTATAATGGATTTTTTATTAGTCAATTTTGATGCTGCTGTTTGAATCTCAATAGATATTCTGCGTTAGTTTCTTGACGCCTTAAACTGTATACATTTTAAGCATTTAGAGTTTTTCTTCCGTTTCGGCCTCTTGTAATAGGCATCGTTAAAACTTTGAAGTTGTAATATATGTATTGGCAAGGTAGTTTGACGTCTGATTGCCATAAATAAGACTGGTGAGCTAAATTCTTTATTGGCTAAGGTTTTTAGCGAACGTGATTGCCTAGATACCTTAGGGTGATCTTCTCTGACCTGCTGTTGTAGCACCACACTCGTCAGGAGAAAAACTCCAACGTCTGAAGCAGTAAAGCTGTTTGTAAAGTTCTTTTCTAGCATCTCCTGGTGTTACTTCAGACACGTTGGTGTCTAAAACACCTTCTTTTTTGCAAAGCTCAGCTGTTTTGGCAATTTAAGGTAGGGAGACTGGTTCGTAATACATGCCTGTAGCAGACTGTCCCGTTTGCTCTAGTTTATTTTTCCTACATAACTATTAGGTTTGCCCAGCGTAGGATGCGGAAAGAATTGGTGATTCCTTATGGAATGCTTAGAGTCAAAAAGGTAATGCAGAGTCGCTGGTGGCCGGGGCTCTTAATCTCGCAACGAGCAACTCTGCTCGTGACGTCTGTCAGTAAATGACTTACTTGATTTAACAGTGGCCGGCTTCATATAGTCTTTTAGTCGATAAATCGTTGCCTGAAATGTTAGTAAAAATGTATTTTTTCGTCAAGGTAGTTAAACGTTAGACGTCCCTAAAAAGAACCTATGAGTTTTATGGTTAAATAGGAAACGTTAACACTTATGATGGCCCTGAAAAGAGCCAGTGGTGATACTTCCAACCATTTCTTATTATTATTTTTGATTATGGACAGCCGGCTTCGGGTAGCTTGACTCTTACCCTCGGAGTCTCTCGGTACGGAGGCCATGCTGTAGGGAGGTACGCTGCTGACCAAAGAATATTTTATCTTCAGGTCATTCCCTGGGTAACCAAACACTCATCGTTAGTCAGGAAAGTAGGTCTGGAGAATACTTTCTCTGTAGGTATGCCGTTGGGACGACCACTAAGAAGGACGCCGTTGTGGCTGCCAGTACTCTGCAAGGCTGACTTCCCTGGCTTGCATTTGAAGTAGAAAATTCTCTGACAGCACCAGGTCAAATGGTTGGAAAGTGGGCCTGGAGAATAATTTCTTCGTGGGTACGCTGTTAAGAAAAACCACTGAAAAGGAGGCCGTTGTGGCTGCTCGAACTCCTTAAAAGTTGTTTTTCCTGGCTTGCTGTCGTATCAAAATCTGCTCTGGTGGCAACAGGCCGGTTGGAAGAACGGACTAGAAATCCTCAATTGCTAGAGCAGACTGAGCTCTGGCTAGACGCCTCCTGTTATTACGCTGGAGACGTTAGTGATCGTAAAGCCTATTTATTGGTGGCATTCGTTAATCTTGGTGGTTTGGCATGAAGTTCCATGTTAGTCGCTTTTCCATTAGAGAACAGTGTCGTCGATAGCCAGGATACTCAGCTGCACGACTCCCAGCTTTATGCTTCATGCACTGCCACTGAACGACTATTATGTCTGGCAATTTGTTCAGGAATATTATAACCAGACTTACTTAATTTTATTGCAGGTAGCTTCGATTTTCATTCTATACCATCTAGTGGATCCTACTAAAGTAAAGTGTAAAGCTAGTGTACTTTTGCAAAAATT